TATATTTGGACATGGCACAATTTTAGATTTTTTTTCAGGTATTTACCAAAATATATTCAAGCTCCCCTGTTTTCGTGTGTATCACGATCGCGGTGTTAGACCCCAGACCTTCTCACCAAACTCGTGACCGAAGGACTGGCCGATCTAAAACTGCGGTGTGACGTGCATAACCATACCACACCCAGCTGCACCCTGCACAATGATTTTCCAGCTAATGGACAACAGATCGATGTGCCGTCAGTCTGAGCGATTGTTACTGGGTCAGGTTAATTACAAAACTGACCCTCACACACTGCCACCACCTCCTTTTTGTACAGAGAAAGAGGAAACTCTCTTTATCAAATATACACTGTAATGGTTGAAAAGTTGTCTGTCCAATACGGTCACCGCAGGCCGATTGGGCAGAGGATTAAACAAACACAGTAGCATCTCTTTAGAGGCAGGAATTCGTAAATAAGCAAGAAGCAGAAAGTAGCAAGACTATAAAATTGTCATTTTACTGATCATCTAATAAAACGTGGACTGTCTATCACAATCCACTACAATCCCCCCTTAAAATGGATATTTTATTCCTGACTGTCCCTATGTCTTCTGATGTCCTAACTGCCTGGTGGCCCTCCCCTTGGAACTCTTTTAAGAGCCCCCGAGTGGCTAATCCATCCCTAGAGTCTCGATGCATCCTGAGAAGGCCACAGTCAGGCACTGCCTTTCCCTGCTTATAGTTGTCTGTTAAGGGGGGAAATTGTAGCATTCCCTCTTTTTTTATAAGTTTGAAATATGATGGTCAGGGGACAAGGTCTGTAAGGGAGTATAGGATTCCCTTTCTTCACGGGGGAGTTCAACATTGTTATAGTTCAGGAATGTAGGGGAATCTCGTTCACAGCTTTTCCTATTAGCCTCTTAATGCAAGGGATCACACAGCAGGCGACTACCACCATTAGAATGATAATACCCAGGATAACCACCCGTGCTTGGGCGAGGGCTTTCTGCCAGCCACTCAGCCATCCAAACCACTGATCCCAGGGATGTGTAATACCTGAGTTTCCTTAAGTTCATTTGATAGGTCCTCCAACCTCTTGATGACCAGTGTCACCTTCCCATTTGGGCCTGTGTTATCTGGGATATATACGTACAGCAGGTCATGGTCTTTGGTATCATTTTACAGACCCCCCCTTTTTCAGCTAATAACATATCGAGTGTCATACGATTTTGAAAGACCATGTTAGAAGTAACCTCCAACTGCGCTGCTATCCCCTTTAGGGCATCTCGTGTGTAATTTACAAACCGTTGTTGATTATAGTAGATGTAGTTTATCCAATCTACATTCTTGTTCTCAGTGATGAAGAGGAATAGGGATTCAAATCCTGCGGCCACCTGGTCTCTGGCCTTGAATTCATCGGGTACCCCCCTTGGGACTCCTATTGCATCTATATAGACATGGGGGTCAAAACTCCCTTGTGGGGCACTCCATTTGTGCTTGGTTGCACGGGGGGGTTGGGTGGCCCCTTAAGTAATGGATCTGAGAGGATGTGCAGTGGCATTATGGCATTGGCAAGGGTATATTCCCCTCTCCATTTCCCTGTCAGTCGGGGGTCCTAATCTTCTGATCACCACAGATCCAGAATATATCCCCCAGTGATATGACCTGGTTCTGGGTTAGATCCAACCAGGCTGTACTATAAGCAGTGCAGAATCCCTTTGTGAAATTCCCCAGGAACCTTCCTCCTCCCTCGTAATTGGCATAGCAGGTACAATTACCGGGATATTAGTTAAACCATTTGGGGCCTTTTCGTCTCCTTGGACTAGGGGGTAACGCTTCTTCCAGTCCTCACATAAAGACTGGTTCGTAGAGATGTTAGTATACAGGCTTAAGACACACTCCTCTATGGAATCTGGTAGGGTTAGTGGCACCGTCCCCAGATGTGGTCTGGCATGACCACACACATAACAGTTGGACCTATTATGAGAGTTGGCATTATACCTCATCCATTCTAACCACAAGTTAATGTCTGAGAATCCTGTCTCTACTGCCATAGTGTCCTCAAAGGATGGGTTTGCCAGAGCCACCATTTCTCCCAACTCCTGAAATTTAGGCATCAAGGGATTGGGAGAAGGGAGAGAATGATTAAGGGGGGCCAACCACTCTTTTGAAAGGTACATATCTTTCAGTTGGAACTCACAATGGTGGATTGTGCCACCTCCGGGGTATAACACCCCTAGAAGGTAAGTTCCCTGATCTCCTGGACTGGGGTTCTCTATGGTCAGAGTAAGGGGGATGGCTACAGTGAATTGCTTGTTCATTTTTGTGGATCACCTATCTACCTTAGGGGTAAGTGAGTGTCATTCGAGAAATTAGAGATTTTCCATATCGGTCTTTCCGCTCTACTGCACTTTCTGGCTTATACCCCCAATCCGGTCCCGTGTTCCATCCCACTGATCCCCAGTAGCCACAATCTGCTCCCCAATAGTTATCTGTAACACATATATATATTGTGGAGGCAATGGGGACAGGTGTGTTCTTGCACAGGCTATGATTGAAGAAAAATGTTGCTACTTGTGTGTTGGATGAATTATACCAAAACTGGGTGGAGTCACCCTTGTGAGTGATGGCCACCTGTTGGCCCCCTCCCATTTCCACCAAAAAAAAGGATATGCAACACAATCATTGTGGTGTGGGTGACACGGACAGGGCCTCGTCCTCTGGAGCTGGAACCTTCTTGCAATGTGAGGCGTGTATCCAGGTAGACTTTCCCTCCAACTTCACTGAAGTGGCAGTCACCAGGAGCACCTGGAAAGGACCGTTATATCTGGGTTCCAATGTATGTTTTTGCAGAAACTTCTTGACCAAAACCCAGTCTACAGGTTGCAAAGTGTGTGTTCCTCAGGATCTGGAATGGAGAAGAATACTTGCACATGGATATTAGTCAACACACGTGCCAAAGATATCACATACTTTGTCAATGAGTCAGACTGCAATTATAATTGTTGAGTATAGTAGGTACCCAGTCTAGGGGCGGACCCAAACAAAATCTCATAGGGAGACAGCCCATGACTCCCCCTTGGTGTGTATCTAACACTGAAAAGAGCAATAGGCAAGCTGTCCGGCCATCCCATGCCTACCTCTTGGGCCATTTTTAACATTCTTGACTTCAGGACCCCATTCAGGCACTCTACCTTCCCACTACTCTGGGGATGATAGGGTGTGTGAAATGCAAGTGTGACCCCCAGAGCCCCCCAGATCTCTTTTGTGACATTGGCAGTAAAAGCCGGTCCCTGATCACTTTCAACCACCTTGGGCACTCCATATCTGCAGACTATCTCCGTGAGCAGCTTCTTGGCTGGTTCTTGCCGTCTGGTTGGTTACTGCGAATGCCTCTGGCCATCCTGAGAACATATCCACCACCACTAGGACATATTCAAATTGTCCACTTTTTGGCATCTGGATATGATCTATCTGGATCCTCTGAAATGGATATAGTGCCTTGGCCAGATGTTTGCTTGGAGGTTTCTCAGGTCTTCCAGGATTGCACTTGGCACATACAACACAAGACTTACAGAATCTGTCTGTGTAAGCCATAATTCTGGGTGCCACGTAGTATTTACTGATCAAAGAGTTCATTAGCATCTTGGACAGGTGTGACGCTCCATGTGCCCACTGCACTGTAGCTGGATATAAAGATCTGGGAAGCAAAACCTTCTTCCCCACCACCCACAATCCTTTGTCCTCAACTGCTCCTTTCTGTATCCATTCCTTCCTTTCTTTCTCTGAAGCGTTATCCTGGGCTTCCCGGAGTTGGTTGTCCTTGGGCTGATGAATTAACACAGGCACCACCTCACTGCACATCATCTCCTCATCCTCTTCCTGCTCCCTGACCGCAGCTTGCTTAGCAGCCATGTCTGCCAGATGATTTCCTTTTGCTTCCATAGTGGTCAATTTACCGTGGGCCTTCACCTTCAGTATGGCCACTTGGACTGGTAGTAAAAGTGCTTCCATAAGGCGGTTGATTGCCTTTCCATGCTTTACAGGAGTTCCAGCTGCTGTGAGGAAGCCTCTCATTTTCCAGATTAAGCCAAAGTCAAGTGTAACCCCCAGTGCATATCTGGAGTTTGTGTAAATGTTAGCTGTCTTTCCTTTTGTTAATTCACAGGCTTTGGTGAGGGCCCTTAGTTCAGCCTCTTGTGCAGACATAAAAGGTGGAAGAGGTCTAGCTTGCAGTACCATTGTGTCGGTAGTCACAGCATATCCAGTGTGGTAGGTGCCAGCATTATCTGCAAAGCGGGATCCATCCACAAAGAGCACCAGGTCAGGATCCGACAAGGGCGCACCACGGACCACCGGCAGGCGTGCAGCCCCCGCCCGCACAAATTCCAAACAGTCACGTGCCACATCCCCTGGCGCCACACCCTCCGTGCCCCCCCCCCCCCCCCCCCACCCCCCCTCTGGAAGAGGAAGAAGAGTTGCAGGGTTTATCTGGGTGCATCTGACCAGGGTAACATGATCAGGCAGGAGGAGGGAGCCTTGTAGTCGCAGATGTCTGGCAGCAGATAGATGTTTGGGTTGGGTTTGATTCAATATTGCAGTGATGTCATGGGGGGCCAGAAGTGTGAGGGGGTGTCCTTATCTAGGAGAAGATGTGCAGCAAAAACAGCCCTCAGACAGGAGGGACCACCCCGTGCAACTGGGTCCAGCCTGCCGGAGTAATAGCCTAGGGGCCGGAGGTGACCTCCGTAGCGTTGTGCCAGGACTCCTGTTGCATGACCCTGCCTCTCAGCCACAAAGAGTTTGAAGGGCTCATCGTAATCTGGTAGGCCTAGTGCAGGTGCAGTGGAAATGGCCTTTTTCAGGCGATGGAAGTCAAGTACAGCTTCTTCTGTCAGGATGAAGGGTTCAGATTTAAGGGCATCATAAAGGGATTGCATCAAGATGGAGGCTTCTGGGATCCAGGAACGACAATAGGAAACCAACCCCAGGAAAGCATGCAGGGCTTTTGGTCCCTGAGGTATTGGGACATTCAACCTGTTCAGCCAGGTGGTGGAGGAGGCTCAGAGAGGCGATTTTTCCTTCAGAGTGGTCGGTGGCACATAGGAGCAAGTCGTCCACATACTGGAGCACTATGACTTCTGGGTGTGACTGTTGCCAGGTGCTGAGGATGGTTGCCATGGCCTTTGTAAATTGGCTTGGCGAATTTTGGGCCCCTTGGGGCATAACTCTCCAGGTATACTGTCGGCCAGCATGGGTAAAGGCGAAGAGGTACATGCAGGAGGGGTCCAGTGCGACACTGAAGAAGGCATTGCCAAGTAAATAACTGTGAACACTTGGGCTGTGGGAGGTACCCTCGCAAGCAGGGTGTGGGGTTTGGCACAATGGGGGTTTCCAAAATAGTTACCTCCTCATTGACTGCTCTCAGATCTTGAACCATGCAATATTTGGTGGGCTCACCCTTTGGAGTTCTTTTCTTCACTGGGAAAAGGGGTGTATTGCATAGGGACACACAGGGAATTAATGCCCCGTTTTCCAGAAGTATATTGACTTGTTTGGAGATGGCGTCCATCTGGGCCTGCTTCAGAGGGTATTGAGGCTTCCGTGGCAATAGTGCTCCAGGCTTAAGCTGGACTAACACTGGAGCAACTTTCAGATGGCCAATATCCTCAGGGCCGGAGGACCAAAGAGTGAGTGGCAGCTCCTGTAAGGCCTGTTCTACATGGTCCGGCAAGGGGCGGCCTGAAACTTCCTGTAGAGACATCATCAGTGGTAATGAACACAGAGCCGAGGTGTCCTCCTCTCCCAAGGGTGGTGGAGAGCTGAATGGTGCCATCTGGTTGGTAGGATATAGTTGCTTGAAACCTGGATAAAAACATCAGCTCCCAGTAGGTTCAACGGGCAAGTATTTGACACCACAAAGCGAGACAGAAGATTGGGTAAGGTGCCGATATGTAGAGGTTTTGTAAGCCAACTGCATTGTGGGCAGCCGTCTACTCCAACGCAGGAGACATCAATGTTTGAGAGGTATGTTTCATTGGGTAGATCTTCTCTCCGCAAAACGCTTCTAGCTGCACCTGTGTCCACTAAGAATTGTGTAGGATGTCCCTCAATGGGGACAGTGACCTTTGCTAGGGGCCCACTAGCACAATGTCCATGAGAAGAAACAGTCATAAGGGGGGTGGACACAGGCCTGCCCCTGTCCTATTGGAGAAGGTTTAGATGTTCTTGGGTAGGACCTGTCTGTGCGGGTCCTGGAGGCGGTGGAGGTGGTGGCATTTCAGACTCTTCCCACCCTGAGTTGTAGTCATTGAGTCGTCGTGAACGTCTGGGAGCTCTGCATTCCCTTCTGAAATGTCCTGGTTTTCCATAGTTGAAGCAAACAAGTGGGTTTCTTCTGGAGACCTGCTCTCCAGCCAACAATATGAGTGGTGTCGGCTTCCGGGCCACCTGGGCGGTCTCCAGACCCTTTGCCACTAATAGCAGTATATCCAAGTGGAGGGTACAGTACTCTGGACGGGCAGTGATCAAACCCTTGCAAACAGACTCCATTAGTACAAATGATACAAATGCAGAGGCCAGCATTTGAGTATGTACCTTGTTATGGACACTGAATCCAGGTCTGTAAACACCTGTGTTAGTCTGGTATGGAATTTTTCCACCGACTCAGTCTTGTCTTGGGTAATGTCCTGCAATGTGGTGGCCTGGTCCGCCAGTCTCTCTCTGGCCCACTGCTGCAACTGGTCACAGAAGGAAGTTCCCGAGGCATAAGTGGTGTCCTCATTTGGCCTTACTCTGGTGATGTCTTCTTCCATTATAGGCCAATATGCATCCCCAGCCTTGATCTCACACAGACTCACTAGGTCCCTCCAAGCTGTGGAATAAATCTTGAGGATCTGGGCTATGCGCCGGTAAAAAGGCATCGGGTGTTTCTCCGGATCTGGACTGCGGCCCTCCGAGGGTGGGCGGTCCCGTTGGGGGGCAGATGGAGCCGGCATCATCTGCCTGTGTGACCCGGCGATCCGCCGTGGCCGCTGTCACTTCTGGGGCCCTTCTATCTCCTTGGGGGGCCAGGGAGTCTGGGTCGGTAAACTTCCAGCCCTTCCATGTCCTGGGCATTTTTGGTTTAAACTGGTCTGAGGTTATTACAGGCATTAGGGGTGTATGGAGCGCTGAAGGTGGTTGGGAGCCAGGGACAGTAAGCACTGGGCAAGGGGGGGCAGCTGGCATGAGGTGTGTGTGGTATATCGGTGTGCTAGGCCCAGAGACAACATGGCTTCTGGTGGCCTCACTGGGCGCCGCCATCTTTGATGAGGGCGGAAGGGGCGGGGCCGGAGGCGGAAATGGAGGTGACTGAGTTGGAAGCATCGGATGTTGCATAGTCAGCTTCTGGTCACATTCCTTGCAAATCTCCTCCCACCCCGGATTCTTAACTGAACACCCCTGACATATCCGGAGGTTCTGACTACACGGTATGCAAAGATCTGGACTCTCAGGGTGGGGCCTTCCTGTATTTCCACATGCCTCGCACCTCCAGGACAGGCCATCATCATAGGGGGGTGGCGCCTTGCCGGGCGCGTCTCCTTTTCTGTAATATACATATACAACTCCCCCATCCTGATTCAGTTTTTGCTCCACCCACCACTCCTGATGTAGGGCGCGGGCCACATTAAGCCAAGTTTCTGCTGTCTTTAACATGTTATGCTTCATTAGAAGCCCTTTCTTCTCTTTACACAGTTTCCTCCACCAGTTCACAAGCAAATGAACTGTTTTCTGGCTTTGTAAGTTTCTGTCCCATTTTGTTTTACTTCCCTCCCGGGGACCCTAAGGTGGACCCCAAAGCCGTCACTCCCTCTTGTTCTGAAAGTGCTGTGTCGTGAGACGGTTTAAGCAGAACCCACGCAGCACTTCCCCCGTGCTTCTCCTCCAGTGACTTCCCTATTTTTCAGCTCCACTGAGAGCAATGTACATTAACCCTGTAAACCAATATATTAGGAGCTACGATACGAGCGTCACTGTACTACTTTCACCAATCCTCACGCTTTCATGTACACCAAACATTAATCCACATACACAGTGTGACCATGACATAGTATTTCAGACACGCCTGTCAGGAGTACATTTTTTTTTTTCCCCCACAAAGCCAATCCCTGGCTGTGGTGTTTTCCCTCGTGTCGCCATTACTGCGACTCCCCTCGTGTCGCCATTACTGCGACTGCGAGTTCAGTTCCCCTTGTGTCGTTATTACTGCGACTGCGAGTTCAGTTCCCCTCGTGTCGCCATTACTGCGACTGCGAGTTCCCGGCACCCTCTCTCAAATCAGGGTGTATCCTGTCCACTCCTGATGAGGAATATTGTGCCGTAATTCTCCCCTCCCTCACAGGCGCATCAACAACAACCAATCACACTGGTACACTCAGACAACACAAAAGACAAGACATATTACACTGGTAGATGACGTTACACAGACAGGTGGGTTCAAAGGAGCCCCGGGCAAGTATACCTGTCCTTTGCTGACCAACGGACAGCCAGACGGGTGAGTAGTCCCGCTGGGCAATTCCAGACTACGCAGGCAAGGAATTATTAGACATAAAAATTCATCTACCGCTTTAGGAGGTGATCAGTCTCCGCATCTGGAATGCTCCACGGTCCCCCTCGTCCACTCTCGGTCGGCTCATCCGGTGTTCAGAACCCGGGCTCCACGTTGGGCGCCAAAATGTTTTGGATGTGGTCACTTACCGACCACAGCTGTTTTGATCTACCAGTGAGCCTAATTAATGTGAGAATACGTGCACGTGGAAGTAAGACACTGGCACTGTTGCAGTTTGCCAACTTCCTAAAATTCTGTTTTATTGAGGAACTAAGTATCATTTATAGGGCTTATGATGCAGGCAAAGCATATACATTGATTGGGTGAAAAGTCCACTGGGTTTCTGCATGTTCTTCCATCCGTGTTGATATCTTCCAATCATTGTCCCCAAAAAGACTCATTCCCTTTTATGGGGGTTGTTTACATTAAAAGATACTTTTCTCCTAATGAGTCACCTAGGATGAGACTCCGGATGAAGGCGCCATCTTAATTATCATCATTGTTCTGTCAACCTATATCTGATTGTTTACTTAAGAGAGTAAGGAATTTTAAAGAGCAAGAAGCAGAAAGTAGCAAGACTATAAAATTGTCATTTTACTGATCATCTAATGGAACATGGACTGTCTATCACAATCCACTACACCACAGATCATTCCAAAGAACTTCAACTCAAAGAGATCCATAGGGGGAAATGGCCATGAAAATTGGTCTCTCCTAAGCCTGCTTCCATTGATGATAGGCTGCAGTATCCCTGAAGGAAATGTAGCATGGGAGATACTAATGCTTCTAAAAGATATACTAGAGTTGGTGATGTCATCACATTTTACTGAAGAGATGATCCATTTCCTGGGTTTTGGCCCACTTGTAGATGTATGGACAATGCGTTTTGAAAGGGAAGCACAGTTTTTTCAAAAAGGTTGTGCATGACACTCGTAATTTCAAGAACATAGCACATACTTTGGCTGTAAGACATCAGAGGCTGATGGCCTTCCACTTAGATTCCTCCACATTCGTTAAACCTCCTTTGCAAATTGATAAAGTGAGGTCAGTTATGGTCACATCCTTCCCTGAAAATATTCAGCGTTTGCTACATCAACAAAATGCCAAGCAAAGTACAGTGCTGGTTGTATCTTCTGCATGTGTTCATGGTGTTAAATACAGTGCACATATGATCATTTCTGTTGGCAGATGCTCAGGTCTTCCAGAGTTTAGGCAAATAACACCCATTGTTGTCATCAACACAGAACTCCTGTTAGTCTGCAGACTTTTGAGTTCTTGGTATATTGAGCATTTACATGCTTATGAGTTGTGCTTCAGTGGAGGATGATCTCTCATAGTCACTTAGCTGTCCAAGCTGAATGATGTATTTCCCTTATCATCTTACAGAGTAAAATGCAGAGTGTATGTGACACTAAAGTGGTACATATTGTGCTGAAGGACAGTATGAACTGAGAACTAAAATGATTTTCACTTTCTGTAGGACCATGGAAAACTATAACGTAAGACTCATCATAATTGAAGAGGATATACGGAAAGTGTCACTGGATGAAAAATCGCAAACTGTTGAAGAGCTGAAGAAAACAAATCAAAGAAAAATGCAAGCTGCAGTATGACTTCCATGTCATGTATGAAGACCCTGACTTTGATAATGCTCTCTGCAACTTCAATGACACAGGAGACTTGCCAGCTACAAGAGCTACTCTGAAAGTTATTCCATTTATAGCGAATTCCTCCTCCACCAGTATGTCTGATGCCTCTGATGATACAGGGATCCTATCCACACACAGCTCCTCATCATCTACGAGACAAGAGCGATGGCCAGAGTTTTTTGACATTCCAAAGTTTTCAGTTGATGTAGAATTCAGACTGAGACAAGCTAATCTTGTATTTCTACAAGACAATTCATACCTAAATGTACCACGAGACATGAAACACAGCATTTTGAAAAAGCTTGCTGAAACAATTTACAAATGTGATGCCTATCCAAATGAAGAGCGGATTCATTCTGTGTCACTAGCGCTTATAAAAAAGCATCCCTGCCTCAAGGAACCAGGCTCAGCAGATAGGTGTTCTGGCTGGAAAAATAGCTTGAAATTCAAAAGGAGGAACTATCCTACTAAACTGAGAAGAGCAGGATGCATAGAGGTTGCGGTAAATGGGGGCAAACAAGGTTCCCCAGAAATGGCATCAAAAGGCCTAAAAAGACCAAAGAGATATGAGGTTAATTACTTACCAGACCTCCCTGAGGGACAGAATAAAGACGGCCTAGAGGCTGAGAGAAAGCTCCTAGTTGAAGAAATGAAAAAGCAGAACTCCAGTGGAAATGTCATTGAATAAAAGATGGACTTTACCTTTTCACTGCGTTGGTGGGAGTTTGTGGAGACTGAACCTTTAGTGAAGACAGTAAAAGAGAGGGGGCCAGCCCTGTTTACAGAGAGACAAGTACTGTAAGTGCTGATATTGATGTGCTCCTTCTGCTTTGTACTATGAAACATTTCATTTTATACTTGGGCTGATGTCTTTACCTTTTTAGTGACCACTTTTTCCAGTTGAAACTGGTGAAATCTGCTGTGTCCATGATGACTTTCTTTAGTGGTGTGTTTTTTTTTGTTTTTTCTTCTTCAGGTGTGCATTTATAGTGCCTTTTTAATCCCTTCCTGTCCTTAGGCTGTTCATAAACCACCTTAGGCTGAAGTGGCTATATCACGATTATGACTGGAGCTACAGTCATAATCCAGGTATGATTATTTTATATTTTTAAGCATCCATTTCCCTTCAAGGTAAAAGTAATTCTAGGGGGAATAAAGCCACTAGATTACTTTTACAGGTGGCAGAAAAGGGACCCCCTCTCAATGCCGCCTCTGCCGG